CCTGGACGAGTTTCGCAGATTTTGGGTGAGTTCTCTCAAAACACGTCGCCGCCTCGTTGCGGCTAATTCTCATGAGGCCACTACCTAGGTTATCTTATCTAATCTAATTAATCCTCGCTGGCATTGATAATCGATCTGTCTATGAGTTAATCTCTCTATCAGTGTACGAAACGAACGCTAAGAAATTTAGCTATTATCAACACCAGCGAGGATAATGAAAAATCAGTCGAGGCGGGATTAACACGACAGGCGGAGTCAGCTTATCATTGTTGACTCCGCCTTCGTCTATCAATCGATTTCGAATCCGGGAGTGGGATATCCTCTACGGTTGTGGACTTGTACAGTACGGGGTTTCTTCACTTTGGCTGGTCGGGAACCTGTCTTTGAAATATGCCCTCTGTTCAATTAGAGTCAATTGCTTAGTCATCTGGTTCACCAAGTCATCAGTTTGCGCTGACAAGGAAAGCAAATGAAAAAGGCCCTACTTACAGAGGGCATTCTCTCTAGCCGTGCAACTTCAAGCGCATACTTATGCTACAATCTTACCTCTGGTCTATTTTTACTGTAAATACCAATATGAACATCATTTCCGACTGGTATTCCCAATTCTCTGAACGCAATGGAAACATTGTCGGAGCGATCAAGAACCTGAAACAAGGAACTGTTTGAGAGATTGTAGGCACTCCCAAGAACAGCGCATCTAGAATTATGATATTTGAGAATTTTTCAGTGGAATCCAACCCTTCAGTGTTTGGCCGAAGGATACGTTGCGGCGCGTTGCGCTACAGCAGACTAAGGGGCCTAAAAATCAATTCGATTTCTTCTCATTCAGTGTGTTAAGAAGTCAGACAAGTACAGCACTAGATGTGAACTACTACAAATGCTTGTGTGCGAACGGTGCGAGCTTCGTGCCTCGGACAAGACCGATGTACAGTCTGGGTCGCAACGAATGATGAGGGGTGTCCGGCGCAGTTGTATTTAGCGCGCCGTTGAAGCAGGTGAGCGACAACAATCGAGGGAAACAACTGATACAGCGGTATAATGCAGTCTTGCGCTTGCTCTCCTCAGAAACAGGTGGAAAACGAGATGGTGCCGTGCCAACCCAACCCGCCTGACACCTTTCCACGGCGAACAAGACTTCATATGACTGTTTACGCTAACTGTACAGCAACAACCAGTCGCTTGTATTACCAACTCTTCTGCGTATTCTCACTGAGACAGCATCATGACAATTCCCGTCATAGTAGCCAATGCAAGACATGGCGCTGCTCAACTTCATCCCCTTCATTTTACAGAAGTACACCCTTTAGCTGAGATAGTACGACCCCGTAGCCCACCGCTGCCTAGTGCTCTTGCCCTCTATTTCTCTTTATCGACATAACTACACAAAAAGAGACAAAACACGAGACCCATTAGTTTAATTGCGACAGTTAAGTCTTATCAAATCATCACCAGTCACTGAGAGAAAAGAAAGAGAATGACCTTGGCTTTTGGTGTCCTTATCACGGGAAAAAGTCAGATGACATGAGAGCCTTTATTCCTTAATTACCGGTTGTAAATTTGCGACATACCTCATTATAAGGAATCCACTCATATGGTTCCGTTCCATCTGCACGTTTCACTCGGCGACCAAGCATTGGACCATTGTTAGAAACTCGGGCTCCTCTTCGTACTCCTTCGTATAATGTGCGCACATCCTCGTACACATATGACATGAGCTTGCCATCCTTGAGATAAGCAGTGACCCGCGAGCCATCCTTAACCACACAGGATTAGGAGTTTATCTTCAAGTTTATGACGAGCGATGGCCCGCAGTAAAGTCGGCAGCACAGCGACCTTCGCACTTTAGTTTTCAATCCTCCTATTAAAATGGTATCTCCTGGCAGTGTGAATCACTTGTTTTTGGCAAAGGTGTCTATAATCATCAATTATCCTGGTACACAATACAGGCGTTTACTAAAGCTACATTAGCAATAGTGTGACCTGTTGCAACTAAAAATGAGTGTAATGTTGAAAGATCAGACAACTCCCCCGCTTGGGAAGTGGATCCTACCATTTTTTACATCAGCAGGCGAGTTAGAAAAATATGATCGTTGATCATTTTCCACACAATAATGCCCGAGAAAACATTGGGGAATTATTCATAAATCTTTATATATCTATTATCTATCTATCGCTTGCTGAACATGGGTCCACAATAAGTCTCTTCATGTAACATCAAGAGAAAAATGAAAGACCTAGCCGTACAAAACTTAATCAACTAGTAATACGTGAAGCCGTGCTCGTGCTCACCGTTTTCGGAAAAACTGAGAGTTCGTGAAGTGAAGAGGGTCCGGATGGATCACATGACCATCAATTGGGATCCGCTCCTTTACCAGCATTGTGAGATGGTTGATGATAATTTTAATAAATTACCATCATTGCCTTCACTAATTCTGCAGCTGAGCAGAGCCAAAACGACAAGTACGAGTCTGAACCCTTTCTCGGTTTTCCAAGTTGATGCGCTCCCCACCTCCTCGCGGAATCGTCGACTCATCTGCTCAGCGCTCGGTATGGACGCAGCATAACGGCCCCGAAGTTCACGCATTATCAGAGGATTTCTGAGTTTAGCTATAATGGAAGTCTTTCTTGCGATCAAGTATAACTCTTCCAAGTCGGTTGTTCCAATGACGACGATTCGCCTTTATGTCCTTCTTCGGGTCGGCTTTTTCCGTAAGGATGGTGGGGGTTGAAATGGGTTCGCCAGTGTTCGCTAGCTTCAGAGATCGCAAAATCAAATTAAATTTGCGTCCGATATTCGGTAGCTTCTAGGAGCTTCCACCAAATCCGCCAGAGTGAGTGGAACACTATCTTCTCAACCAGTTTCTCTTATGTACACCCCACGCAACCGCTTTCCTGAGTATCCAGATGCTTTCCTGTGCTC